GGTTGGGACAATGGGGTTCGATCCTTCCATTCACTAGCAGGAGGAAATCTTTCAGCTGGATGAGCAGATTCAACACGAGGGTTGTGAGTAGAAATTTCACCAGAAGCCAAATTATTGACCCCAAGCTTTGAATGAAGGTAAGAATTGGGATTACCTATAAAAGGAGGTTCTTTCAATCCATAAGATTCTGTCGGTCGGAAATTATACATTTTGGGAGCCTCCCTGTCGGCAACCTGTTGTAATCTGTTTTCCAATACATCTTCCTTTCTGGGATCAGCAACAGGCTTGTCAAACTCATTATTAGCTAGAACTTCAGAAGCACAGATCTGCATACTTTCCAACCTCTTATCTATTTGTCTCATCTGGTCACAGGCCAAGGAAGTAGCATCTCCTTTAGGAGTACTGCCAGCAACTATACCAGAGTAGTCTTTTGGGGATTCACCAGTAATGTAATCAGAAGTCTGCAAAGGCATGCCTCCAACAGGAGCTAGATCATTATTAACTGGTCTGTTCAATGCGGGACCCTCGACAACCTGGTACTGAGGTGAAACAAGAATCTGCTGAAATGAATCTTGGTATGCCTGTGGGACATTACCCAAAAATACACCTTGAGATTGACCAATGCTTGTCATCGTTAAACCCTGGGGAGTTGATACCTTGAAATATTCAGGATTCTGAGCCTGCTGAAGAATAGTTTTATCATTTGCATAAGCTCCCTCAAGATTCTGGGAGATCCCGATTCTATCGGCTTGAACTTTTCCAGCTTCATGGTCCACATAACCCATAACTCTTGGTCCAGATCCAGCTGCATGTTGCTCAGCAATACTTTCTGTTTGAGTACCAGATAGTACAGGCTTAATCATTGGTTGCCCTTTATCATCCAACCCCAGGCTACGATAAATTGATCTTGAGTCAGAAAAGGTGCTTGCAGGACTTCCCTTTTGGTCCTGAGCCATTGGATCTGAATGAGCGTGTGGTAATGCTTTTTGACACATGTAACAGTCATCAAGTCTAGGAACTTGCTCAGAAACCATGACTGGTTGAGAGGGCAAGCCTCTTTCGGAAAAGGCTACCTGGTCAAGATGTGGAACTTGATGCCAACCATACATTCCTCCTGGCACTGTTGTAGGGACCTGAGCATGCTGCAAACTAAATCCTTGGTCCGCAGGAGGAACCCTCTGCGGCAGTGTACTTTCAGCAGGAAAATGCTCCAAACGAACTTGTTGAGGCTGAACAATAGCAGGAACTGCATTAGGTTTCATACTGATGAATGAAGGATTCATTGTCATATTAACTGCAGGAATAAACTGCTGAGAGGAAGCTCCAGCAGGCGAATGCTGTTGGGTGAACACAGGCCCAACTGCACCATAAATCTGCGCAGGGAATCCCATCTGAGAAGAGAGTTGCACATATTCAGCATGGTTCAAGTTTTCTTGGTGAGCATCCACATTAGCTTGAACATGAGATGAAGGTGCTGGGAAACTCACTCCAGGTTGCTGCAGATCAAATCCCATTTGCGGCTGTGGGACATTAAGAGGCACATATCTATCCAACTCTTGTTCGGAAACAGCAGTCATAGTGGTAGCTGGACAAAATTTAGCCACGGGAATACCCAGCCGAGTAGCAGAAGGATCTGCATGTACTGCAGCATTATGATCAGCACTCACGGTTCCAGGGGCTGTTTCAAGAGAAACATCGGAATTTCCCCTTGGTGATAATCCACCAGCAGATGGAGGAACAGTAACCTCGCCATGACCATGGCCAAAGTTATCAGCACCCTCAGTACCACTCAAATCAGAATTCTGAGCAGAAGCAGCACTCTCAAGGCTCTCCTTCCTAGCAATACAAGCACCACAACCACCACTGCCAAATCCATCCAAAACCCCATTCACTGCTTCAACATACATCTGCCCGCCATCCTGTAAGTCTCCAATATGTAACAAACTGGCAGACTCTAGCTCTGAAGGTGAAAACAAAAATACCCTCAGCTTAGCCGACCCATCTGAAGACCTCTCAACCAACTTCTCATACTCATCCATCATGTTCTCGAGATCATCAGGACATGAAACTGAAACAAGTGCATCAAGGTCCTCATCTGGCAGTTGGTACTTTATCGCTACATTCTGCCCATATGTATCTGCCATCTTCTGAACCAATTCACCAAAACCCACATCCCTCCTAACGCTAATTATCCTAGTCTGCCCACCGACGTATCTCAATGCCCCATCACTTGGCCTAGGCAGTATTTTGCCACCAAAGCTACACAAGAACTTAACCTTCCGCCCTGACACAGAACCATCACCACCCTCATCGCTAGTCTGATCAGAAGCACTACCCCCTACCTGCGCTCCAAACTTCGGACTATTACTAGACCCACTCACCGAATGAAGCACAGAAGCACCCATTGCGCCCAGTTGGCATTGGGGCGGCACACCACGCAAGAACCCAGCGGCCCCTGGCACTGCATTGTTATATCTAAATCCAGCATCAGAAATCGTGGCTGTATAATAAATTGGAGGCACAGAATCGGGGTTGCCCCGGGCATCACGGGGTGGGTTCGCATAAAACCCTTCAACGGGCCTGACCGACGAGGTCACAGGGGCAATGCGTGGGTCCTCGGGCAATGCTCTGGCTATATTCAGAGGGCGCAAATCTTTGGGTACCGAGTTCGGGTCAAAAGCCATAACTTAACTGTGTTTATATGATTTGTCCTTCCTGGACAGCTAAAAATATGGAAATTTTTACAAAAATCAAGAAGTAAAATAAAGGCGAGGCCTTCGAATTCAATGTCTAGGGTCTATATATTTCACATCCAGCTAAAAGGGTAGAAAACAGTATACCTTTGAACCACTAATAAACCCTAGAGATTAAGATAAATTCATGCGGTATCAAGAAAATATTGACTCAACAAAGCAAGTGACAGATATGAAATGAGACCCTCCAAGAATAAGCAAGAAAGAGAGTAAGAGAGGTGAGAAGAAGTGGAGAGAAGTAATTTGAGTCGATGAGCTTATCGGAGATACTTCTATCTCTCTCCTCTCTTAAGATTTATCTACATACCAATCTTCACGGAGATATGTGTACTAAATATTGTCTGCAGTTATTTTTCAGAGAGATTTTCAGCGGAAAATTTTGTGAGTCGGAGGGGAAAAGAGACGAAAGCGGGTAGAAGGGGTTGTAGTGTCATTGTCTA